TACCTGATACCTGTTGATCAGAACAGGCGAGAAAAGTCCCACTCTAATTGGGTAGTTTATAATCTGAACTTGTTTTTCGCATCGACATTAGCATACGCGACATTTAAAAACTTGCCTGAACCCAAAAACGAATTTGATAATGGTACAAGCCCAGCTAAACACGGAACATAGCAGCATGATGCCGATTCAGCTGTTTGTTCAACGAATCTTATGAATACAATTAAAACAACAATCAGTGGAAAAAATAAGCAGATGGGGGAAGGGAGACAAGGCTAGTCGCGTACATGTTACATACGTGCACATGTATGTACATATGTACATGCCTACACATGTATGGATGTGTGTACATGCGAGTACTCACTTACTGTAATTGTGAATGGAGCGGCTGCACTGCTTGCTGCCAATGAACAGAAGAACTCAGCAAGTAATTTCGTAATAATTTCAGACTAAAAGCTGCTAAACTGGTTACATGTTTTATGTCATAACAAAAACATTTGTTGTTACACAAAAAACCTAATCATAAATTATCACAAAAATGTAACTATTTAAGATAAAGAGAGAGAGAGAGAGAGAGTCAGCGGTCACCAAAATTTCTGTGTTATTACACAACACTTAACAAATATAATTATTTTCATCAAAATTGCTGCAAAATCTGGAACAGAAATCAATTGAGCGCCCGAAGATCTGGCCTGAGGCGTGCGCCGCTTTCCCATTGGTGCTCAATTATCGTTTAGCGGCCCAGTCCGGCCCGGCCCCCTCTATTAGTGACCTTCCCCTAACCTTTTCTTTGCTCTCTCAGCAAGGGGTAGTGGTGGACACATATAATTTTTTCCGGCTATTTTCGTGGCGCTGTCAGCCCCCCCCCCCCAACACCACAATTAGAACATCAAAAGACGTGGTTCCACAGCCCAGCTGCCCCCTAATCTCTTTCTCCCTGGTTGCTCGTATACGAACACCAACCTTGACTGATAAAACTGATAAGAGCTCTATGCTTTGCTAGTATGGCACTATTATATATGAATTTATTTATGCGCTTAGATACAGCAGCGTTGTTCAGGGGCGTACGGGATGTCCAAAAAAGTGTTTTCGCTCGGTAAGCAGTGATAACGAATGTAGCCGTAGATTAGCAAAGACACCGCCCCGCCCCGCCACCGAACCTGCTTATTGTTGGTAATTGTAAAACGTTTTTGGCTCTGCCACAGATCGGACATACCCCCCACAGACAGGAGGAGGAGTGAGTGCACCAACAAGATGAGTCCACCGATAATGCTGAGCAGAGATTCACCCGACATTGAGGTAGGTTCCAGTCGCAAACCACCCACCCCAGTCCCCGTTCCAATCCATCATTTGGCTTTCAGGATCTGCTGTCGCTCAATCCGCGCGTCAAGACCCAATGCACAGTGGTGCCCACGAAGCAGACCAAGGAGAACAAGAAGCACTGGAAGCGCAACAATGATCATACGGCACCGCCGTGCACCACTCTGTCCAATAATTTTGAGGACATTAAGCACACGACACTGTCGGAGCGAGCGGCCCTCGAAGAGGCTGGCCGCTGCCTGAAGTGTGCCGATGCACCGTGCCAGAAGTCCTGCCCCACGCAGCTGGACATCAAGAGCTTCATCACGAGCATTGCCAACAAGAACTTCTATGGCGCCGCCAAGGCCATCTTCTCGGACAATCCGCTGGGACTGACCTGCGGCATGGTCTGCCCCACCAGTGACCTGTGCGTGGGTGGTTGCAATCTGCAGGCCTCCGAGGCCGGACCCATCAACATTGGGGGACTGCAGCAGTTCGCCACGGAGGTGTTCAAGCAGATGGGCATCAGGCAGCGGTTGTCGCCGCAGGCCAAGGCCAAGCCGCTGGGCAAGAAGATTGCCCTGCTGGGCGGCGGTCCCGCCTCGCTCTCGTGCGCCACCTTTCTGGCTCGACTGGGCTACAGCGACATCAAAATCTACGAGCGACGCAGCTATCTGGGTGGCCTGAGTGCAGCCGAGATACCCCAGTATCGCCTGCCCATCGATGTGGTCAACTTTGAGATCCAGCTGGTCCAGGACCTGGGCGTGAGCATCGAGACAAATCGTTCGCTCAGCACCAAGGATCTGACAGTTCAGGTAAGTGGAGCACACCTTCCATTCGCATTACAAATGCCGACAAAGGATCTCTCTCTCTCTCTTTCTGTCTTGTTTAGGGTCTGCTCGATAGCGGCCTTGATGCGGTCTTTGTGGGCATTGGCCTGCCAGAGCCCAAGCTGAATCCCATCTTTAAGGGTTTGGACGTGAACGCGGGTTTCTACACCTCCAAGAACTTCCTGCCTTTGGTGTCGGATGGCTCCAAGCCGGGTCTGTGCGCCTGCAAGGCCTCGCAGGGTCTGCCCCAGCTGCATGGCAATGTCATCGTTTTGGGTGCCGGCGACACGGCCTTCGATTGTGCCACATCCGCCCTACGCTGCGGTGCCCGTCGCGTCTTTGTCGTCTTCCGCAAGGGCTCGTCGGGCATTCGAGCCGTGCCCGAGGAGGTGGAGCTGGCCCGCGAGGAGCGCTGCGAGATGTTGCCCTATCTGAGTCCGCGCAAGGTGTGCCTCAAGGATGGCCTGATCACCGGCATGGAGTTCTGTCGCACCGAGCAGAACGAGCAGGACGAGTGGGTGGAGGATGAGGAGCAGACGGTGCGCCTCAAGGCGAACTTTGTGATCTCCGCCTTCGGTTCGGGACTGCAGGATCCGGATGTGCGCGAAGCTCTCTCGCCCCTACAATTCCGTGGCGAGCTGCCCGTGGTGGATAGGATTACAATGCAGAGCAGTCTGCCGCAAGTGTTCATTGGCGGCGATCTGGCCGGCGTGGCCAATACCACAGTGGAGTCGGTGAACGATGGCAAGGTGGCCGCCTGGGGCATTCACTGCCAGCTGCAGGGTCTGCCTTTGGACACGCCAGCAGCCTTGCCGCTCTTCTACACGGACATTGACAGCGTCGACATATCCGTGGAGATGTGTGGCCTGAAGTTTGAGAATCCCTTCGGACTGGCCTCGGCACCGCCCACCACCAGCACGGCCATGATACGGCGCGCCTTCGAGCAGGGCTGGGGCTTCGTGGTCACAAAGACCTTTGGCCTGGACAAGGATCTGGTGACGAATGTCTCGCCGCGCATTGTCCGCGGCACCACATCCGGCTACAAGTACGGACCGCAGCAGGGCTGCTTCCTGAACATTGAGCTCATCTCGGAGAAGCGGGCCGAGTACTGGCTGCGCTCCATTGGCGAGCTGAAGCGCGATTTTCCCGAGAAGATCATAATTGCCAGCATCATGTGCAGCTACAATGAGGCCGACTGGACGGAGCTGTCCATCAAGGCGGAGGCGTCCGGGGCCGATGCCCTCGAGCTGAATCTGTCCTGTCCCCATGGCATGGGCGAACGCGGCATGGGTTTGGCCTGCGGTCAGATACCCGACATGGTCGAGCAGATCTCCCGATGGGTGCGCCATGCCGTCAGGCTGCCGTTCTTCATTAAGCTGACGCCCAACATTACGGACATCACGGAAATTGCCAAGGCAGCCCAGCGGGGTGGCGCCGATGGCTGTTCGGCCATTAACACAGTGCAGGGGCTGATGAGCCTCAAGGCGGATGCCACTGCCTGGCCGGCCGTCGGCAAGGAGAAGCGCACCACCTACGGCGGCGTTTCCGGCAATGCTACACGTCCCATGGCACTGCGTGCCATCTCGGAGATTGCCAAGAAAGTTCCCGATTTCCCCATTCTGGGCATTGGCGGCATTGATTCCGGTGAGGTGGCCCTGCAATTCCTCCAGGCCGGCGCCACAGTGCTGCAGATCTGCTCTTCCGTACAGAATCAGGACTTTACCGTCATCGATGACTACTGCACCAGCCTGAAGGCGTTGCTGTACTTGAAGGCAAATCCACCGCCAATTAATAGCGCCTTCTGGGACGGCCAGTCCCCGCCGACACCCGTCCACCAGAAGGGCAAGCCGGTGCTGCATCTCACGGGCGAAGGCAACAGCTCGCTGGGCTTCTTCGGGCCCTACCAAAGGGAGCGCGACATCACGATGGCCAACTTGCGCAGCAAGCAGGGAGCCTTGTGGGATGCCCAGCAGAATGCTGTCAACACTACCCCCTCCCACGATGGGCCAAAAGAAGCTCCCAAGGTGGGCGACATCATTGGCGCTGCCCTGCCGCGCATTGGAACCTACAACCAGCTGGACAATAAGCAACAGAAGGTCGCCCTGATCAACGATGTGAGTACAGTACAGACACCACCCAGTTGTCACTCACGGCATGGGCTAATCTCCTCCGTTTAATTGCAGGACATGTGCATCAATTGCGGCAAGTGCTACATGACGTGTGCGGACTCCGGCTACCAGGCCATCCAATTCGACAAGGACACGCACTTGCCCCTCGTCAACGATGACTGCACGGGCTGCACGCTCTGCGTCTCCGTGTGCCCCATCATTGATTGCATTACGTATGTCAATACCTTTATCTTAAATTGTATTCATTTGTTAAAAACCTTCTTCTTTTGGTTTTTAGCATGGAGCCCAAGAAGATTCCGCATGTTATCAAGCGGGGAACCGGGGAGAAAACAGTGTACGCCCACGCATTGAGCCAGTGCCAGTAGATGTACTTAGTTGTATGCGTTATATTGTTGATATTATAAAAAAGACCGTCAATTAAATAAACATTTTCAAAGCACATTCTACATACAACTACTACGCGCACCTGCTGCCTGAGTTACGCATATCGAGAGACACTGAGACATCTACATACATACATACATATGTAAATACTAAATGGTCAACCAACAGCTGTTTCACGAAGCAGCAAAAAGAAACCAAACGACAAATATGAGCCTAGCGATGTAGATCCTATGAAGAGAAAAATGGTGAATTCATTCTGAATTCAAAAAATTACTGATCCTCAATTTGATAATAGCCCAAAAAAATGATACCAATGAAATGTATTATCAACGAAAAATATATATCGATATACATCTTACATCCCTAACAGCTTCTACCCAAACAAGTTTTCATTGGCAAAATTAAAAAAAATTAAATACAAACTTGGACACCAGCAAACAGGCCAATGTATCGAAGAAAAACAAGCAAACAATAAGGAAACACAAATATGTTTGGGTTTGTCAAACATCTATTTAAATTCCAGTTCCTTTTCATTTTGGCAGCTGTGTTGGCTGGCCTCTATCACACGGAAATAAAACAGTTTGCAAACAGGCATGCGGCCAACTATGTGGACAACGCTGATGGTGAGACGGTTTCGCTTCAGTTCAAAGCTGCCAACGAAGCGATGCTGCTTACACCGGCCGAACTTTCCAAATACAATGGCGAGGATGGACAGCCCATCTATCTGGCATTGCTGGGATCCGTGTTCGATGTTACGCGCGGCATCAAGCACTATGGCACCGGCTGCAGCTATAACTTCTTTGTGGGTCGCGACGCCTCTGTGGCGTTCATAAGCGGCGAATTTGAGGAGTACGATCCGCAGACTGCCGACGATGTGCTCAGCCTCAAACCGAACGATCTGCTTGGTTTGGCCAATTGGAAGGAGTTCTACGAGAAGGAATACATCTACAAGGGGAAGCTGATTGGACGTTTCTACGATGAACAGGGTGAACCGACGACATATCACCACAAGTACTTGGCGCTCTTCGAGCAGGCTCAGATAGCGAAGGCTGCTGTGGACGAGATGCGCTTAAAGTATCCCGGCTGCAACATCGAGTGGTCGGAGGCCAAGGGAACGCGTGTGTGGTGCACCACCACGAGCGGCGATGGCAAGGAGCGAGCCTGGACCGGCTATCCACGAAAGCTATACAGCCCCGGCAATACAAATTTCAATTGCGCCTGTGTACCCGAATCGGAACTAGACCAAATAGACACCGAAGGCAAGGCGGCTCATGGCGACGCAATGTTCAAGGCATACGACAACTGTGCCTCGCGGGCCAAGGAGTGTTTCTACAGGGTGTAATAAACGTAGGCGAAAAAGGTTGAAGTGTAAATATTGTACTTAAAGTGTATTAAATTCAAATGACATGCACTTTAGCGATGGTTCGCTTCGCGGGTTCAAGTTCTGCTGTGTTGCCAGCTGTTTATGTTATTTTGCGTGGGTGGAACTTTTTGTGCTGTTAAGCGCCATTTTGTCACAGCCAGGTAACCAATTGCGGTATATTATCACGGGTTGTTTTACTCACGAAATTGAGTTCAATTTATATTTACGGTAATTTCGTATTATGCTTTTTGTTGACCTTTTTAGCATAAAAAAAAAGCTTTGTTAACAGGAAGGAAGTCATGAAAATTAGCCAATCCTGTAGAGAATTGATTCATCAATCTGAGAGTACTAACTAGCTGGCAATATTAAATAGAACATCATAATCAAGGAAAATGATTTCGGCTTCGGTATATTTACGGTAGGTCATGTGGTATCTTTGATCGATAAGTCCGCGGTCACAGCCCATCGCATTATTGTGTTTTGTTTATTTTTATTTAAACGAATGGCTGCTACCACAACAGCTATCTCCCCCGTGGTGGAAGCGGACACAGATGCCTGTAACCTGATTTCTGCCACTGTGGTGGCGGGCCTAAGAAACCTTGGCACAATTCTGCCGCCATCCATCACCAAACTTCTCATTGCGAATTCCCTTAAGTTGACTCTCCATCCAGACGCAAGTACGTACAAAATCCAAACATTGAGGTGATCTAAAGCTAATTTCACGTCGCATATGTGTAGCCATTGCGCCAGTGCCTGAAATCTATGCGAACAATGCGGCCAGCGCCAAGCAAAGCGAATACGCCGTAGTTACCCTGTACGCAGTGGCCACCAAACACGCCTGGGATGCACTGACATTGCGCCAGCAACTGGAGGCCCTTGCGCTGCACAGCAGTGCCGTGGATGAGTTGACACGCGTCTACGAGGACAATCGGAAGGATCTGGTGTTGCGACAGCTGCAAGTGGGACACAATTTTCCCCACATCACCGATGTCCAGTGGCGCATAGCGTGCGATGTAAAGTCCTCCACGTCCGACAGCAGTACGGGCGTTGCTCAGTTTTGCATTAATCTTGGCCGGTTTAAGCAGAGCAGCGGCGAACGGATTACCATTGTGGAGTTTGTGTGCAATGCCGAAGAGTTGCAATCGCTGATCAATCGACTAAAGGAGATCGAGAGGCATTGCAATCAGACGGCCATTAGATAGTAGGAACACAACAACCTTATAATTTATATTCTTGCATTAAATAACAATTCTCTATATCTGTAAGCCATATACAAAGCCGGAACTAATAGTCTACCACAGTTGTCATCACAGAAAGGCCTTTGTCATCGTTTTCAGCTGCATTTTCTACTCTCCTGTGGTGTGGCAGCTAATTGGGCTATGGAGTCCTTTTGTTAGAAGAGTTGGTTATGCTTGGGCTGTTCGTCGTCGGGCTCCAGCAGCTTTACCAACGTATCGTAGTCGCTGGGCGCCGTACAAAAAATGGCCCCTGAGAAGTGGGTTGTGTCATTCTCCTCGGGAGAAATAACTATGCAATTCTCCATAATGGATATATTCATGTTCAGTCCGCGGAAACGGCAATCCTGCTTGTACAACTTGTCATCATCTTTGGGCATAAAGAAAGGTCGTCCGCTGAAGGGATTCAGGAAGTCTGACCAATAGCCCAGCGATAAGAGACGCTCGCTGATGTCTCTGGCGGCCAGCACAAACTTCGAAGAGATAGGAAATCAAAAAATTGCACAAAAATGAATGTGTTTGAGCAGCACTACCTTTGAGGCGCCTGATTCGATGTCACCGTCATAGCTCAAAGTGAGCAATGTTATGGCTGTGTCCTTGCTGGCCACGGCGCGCACTGGGAACAGTTCGATGAGGGTGTCACGTATCAGAATGGGACACTGGCAGCAGGATATCTCGAGCAAGTTGTCTGTATTGGCTTCTTTTTTGAAATTCACTATCTTCGAGAGGGGTGTCGTCATCTGCATCGTAGAATTACAGCCCTGCCAGGCTGGACCACAGCAACCTGGCAGAAAGAAGCGATTGCTCCTCGGGGCAGTCAACTCCCAGTTCGGTTCGGACTCAATGCTATTGAGATCATCGTCGGCAGGTTCACGGTTCTTGGTAACAATCTTAAATGGACTGCCTGCGTCTGAGGAGGATCCGGACCCGGACCCGGATCCGCGCTTTGAGTAGTTTACTGCACAAATCTTCAAGGCCGCCATTGGCATGTTCGTCGCGCTGAGCAAGGCAGTTCGTCCGTGGATGCGGATTGTTGTCCGTATGTGGCAGTTGCGGCCCACACTTTCGAGTGCACGAATCAGGGTGCGCGACATTATTATATCACAAGCCACTGCAAATGCGTAAAAAACATTGGCAATGAAATGGAATTGTCGCTTCTGCCCCTCTCTACTAGACGTGATTAAATATAATTTGCTGATACTTACAGTTGCTGCGCCTAGGCGATGGTATCTCTATGGAATGGCACGACTTCAAGACAAAAGCACAGCACGTTGAATTTAGTTTCGTTTTGTTAATTTATTTTTTGTTATATGTCCAAATGTTAATTTTATGTGGCTTATTTTGACTTATTTCTACGCAGTTGTGTTCAGTTGTGTTATCGATAAGATATACCGTCAGACCCTCAAAAATAAACCAAAATATACCTTCTCATATTAAAAATATACCGTAGTCTTAAATTATGTTCGTCGATTCTGATATCTGATATTCGGCTGAATATTACCACCAACCTAAGACACACAGACCTTAAGCTATATTTTTTTCTCAAATTATTGATTGTTCAGGACTTCTTTTATTGGATTGTTTACAAATGAAGGTTTCAGCAAAAAAGCTCAACAAAAATAAACTCTTTTTACATTGTAACTACGCGGTAGTTACACAATTGCTACACATTTTGCAAGGTGTGTGAGATAAACAAGGTTCTCGCCTGAAACTCATTTATTACATTGTGTTACTCTCCTTGATTTTATTTACGGGTTAAGGCAGGTCCCGTGATGCCCATGATGCAACTATATATAACATAAAAGGGTTAATCAGCACACTCTATTCTCGTTGCACTCACACTTAACACTCAGAACCCTTTCACAAGCACTTGTTGACAGCACCTTATATAATTGCATCATGCGCCGGCCAGTACGTAATACAAATTTAACGGATCAATTAATCAAATTTCTACAAGATTAGCTCATTTTATTGGGCTATACCCATTTATTTACTATACTAAACAAATATAGCACAAACACAATTAAACATTGCAAGACAACTACACAGATCAATCGATCCTGTCCGGCATCTTTCCACAGGGTTGACCCTCACCAGCTCCGTCGTTATGACCACGCGCTTGCTTAGGGCCGCCCTTGATCATCATGTCCTGCTCGAATTACTGCATTGGTTTGTCCATCGATTTGTTACGACCACACGGACGTTGTTTCTCGGCTACCAGAATACTAACCCCAATGTCCTGCTCGACTTCATGCATCGGGGTGAGCTTGTACTGTGAAAAAGAATAATTCATGTAATAATCAGGAAATCCGTTAGTTACTCACGTGGCGATTGTTGGCGATTTCGTTTTCCGATTTTGACTCGTGATTCTTATTTTCTGCCTTCCCTTTGCACTCTTCGTTTTGCATCTCGCTGCGCACCTTTCGCACTTGATCCCGTGGGGCCTTCAGCTTCTTCCTGAAACATCGAACCTGCTTTACTTCCAGCAAATCTGATTGGCCATACTGTGCCTCAGATTCCTCGTCATCACACAACGCTGAGCTATCGCTGCGCGGAGACGACAAGTTGCTGCGCGGAGACGACAAGTTGCTGCAAGGAGGCATTTCCAAGCTGGGGAAGAGCATCGAACCAAACTCTATGGGATCTTCTGACATATTTTCTAGATATTCTTCGGGCATGTTGGTGTGGTTGGCTTGCACCTCGGATCGGCTACCGTGTTCCTGCTCCTCCTTATCACTGGGTTTGTGGCCAGCCATGGTCAACAGTTTATCGTTGAGCTTTGTGTACATCGCTTCGGCCTTCTGTCGTAGTGCCCGCTCAAGGGAGAGCTGCTGCTCGAGTTCCTTGGTGATCGCGGTCAGCTGGTCAATAGTGAACTGTTTGCCATTGGGCACGCTGCCATCATCCTCCGACTGCTGCCTCTTCTCGACTTCTGTGGTGGCCAGGTGGTTGCGAATGCTGCGGTGCAAAAGCTGGCTAATTCCCTCGTTATTGCGCACATTGAACTCCGTGATGGAAATGTTCTGGTTCAGACACTCGAGTATTAAATTAGCTCCAACGTCAGTCAGGCCACAGTCCTGCACGTCCACGACTGCAGAAGAGATCGGAGGAGATCTTAGAGTCGGACCTTGGCATGGCTCATGCTTCAAGCCACTTACCCTGTATCCAGGCACCCTCCTTCAGCATTTCGGCGATCCCTTGGAGTCCTTCGTCTCCCATATCGGGGTTGTTGGCGAGCAGGAGCGTGCTCAAGCCCAACATGGACTCATCTTGGGGGGCCTGCTCCCATCGGAATACTTTTTGCATCTGCGTGGAATGGCAAGGATTACAATGCATCCTCTACCTCCGATATACCGATACCTTGATCATTTCAGCCACATGAACAGCCCCCTTGCAGGTGATGCAGCACTCGGAGAGATCGAATAATTCAATGCGATGGAAGGACTTGGCCATATTGCAGACCAACTCGCAGCCCTTGTCCCCAATGGGAGACCTGCGGAAGCTCAACATCTCCAAGCCTTTGTTCGCGGCTAGCGACTGGAATCAGAGTAGCATCATGATTGGTATTACCTAGAATGGATGATACTACCTTGGCAATGCACTCGATGTAACCTTCATGAAGGGGCAGACCCTCCAGCCTGAGCTCCGTGAGATTCATGTTGCTCGTCACACAATTGGCGATTGACTGGACGAGGCCACGGAAAATAAAGCGCGTGAACACCACGGGGCGCTGTTTAAAGAGACGTGCCCGATTCTCCGTGTCAATGGGAGCGATTGCATCTGTATGGATAAGTCCCTTCCTTAGTTTCTCCGCCCTACAGTCCAACAGTCTTCAGGCTACTCACTTGGTTCATAGGAGCGCTGCAGCCGCAGCACCAGAGTCTTCAGGCAGAGATCATTGTGCAGCGCCTCGTTGATCTGCAGCCAGTCACTCACGTTCAGCTTGTCGGCGTTGAGCTCCAAGGAGCTAATCTCATGGCATTTCCTACGAATTTCGGGAACTGGAGTCAAGCTCTTGGCGCGACACAGCTCCAAGTAGCGAAAGTAGAACGAGCGGTTCTTGCTCGATTTTTTGACCAGCGAAGGCACGGTTAGCTTCTTTTCCGACACACGGCCGAGCGACATACTTGTAATATGACTTCACAAATCGAATGGCAAATAGTCGAGTGAATTGTCAAGGCCAGCTATGATTTTCGCTCCATGATCGAGCGATTCTTCAGATCAGATTTTCAAATGTTCCTCCCTTAAGCTTTTGTTTTTGAACCAAAACGCAAACGGGGCTTGTCTGTTATCAATGTGGAAAGCCAACCAATTGAGATCGTATTAGAAATACCTTTGGGGGGGGGCCTGTGAAAAATTCTCTAAAATTGCTTTGTTTCTCTTCTGTTTGTTTGCAAGCGAATTTGCAATATTTATTTAATGTTGCGCATACATATGCATACATATGTGCTGGTGTGTGTGTTTGTGTGTGTAAATTAATATTGTTTTTGTAGTACAAAAGTTATAACAAAATAAATAACAAGAAATTATTTAATACATATTACTCAAACATTCATTTTTCATTACTCGCAATGCAATCGATTTGCCATTCCACGATTGGCATGCATTTTGGTTTACCAGAAGAAGCCCCAGCACAGTCCCCACTGATCTGAAGTGTGGACGAAGATGTAGTTGAGATAGCCATGCCGCTCAGACATTGGTGGGCGCATCCATGCCGCAGATGACCGACTTGACAACAGATGCCGCCGAAAGAGCGGCAAAGTTCTGCCACTTGCGGGTGGACATGCCGTCCTTGTAGTCGGATATGCCCTTGACCACAATGAAGCTCTCGCGGCAATTACCAATAATGCTGTCCAGGACGCTGCTCATCTCCACATCGGTGGCCAGCAGGCCGTACTTGCGGGCAAACTGTGTGCGCAGATCATCGCTGCGTACGAGATCGCGGCCAGAGCCAATCGGACCGAGATGCAGTCGCAGGCGTGGCACACCGTTCAACTCGTCGGCGGCAATGGGATGGGCCACCTCGATGACCTCATTGTTGCCAATGTTCATGAAGAGCTTGTCCGTCTTTGGGTCCGGCCGGCCAAAGTCGCTCTCCGTTTTCTGGGCAAGCGTCTGCTGGGCCTGACCCAGATACGACTCCCACGGACGCTTCAGCTCCATGTTGGCCTGCAGGCTCTCGGCGATCTGCTGCAGTGAGTCATTGATCGGGAAATATGTCTTCACATCCTCGCCGCTCTTGTACAAATAGACATAAGGTTTCTCCTTGCTGCCAATGAAATGATTGAATGATTGAGCGAACCAATCGATTGTAGACCTGTCTCACCTGTTGCTTAACAGTGCCCGCTGTTTGTCCACATAAGAGATGACCACATCGCCCAGCCTCACGTGCTTCTTGTAGTCGGTGTAGTGTGGCACACCGCCAGCGACACCCACAATGAAGACAAAGTCCACCTTTTGGAATGTGCCCAGGAGCCGTGTGGTCGTGTTGCCAGTGGCTGTCATCGCCTCCCTGGTGCTGCCCACCGATGGCAGCTTCGTGCTCACTATCCGATGCGCTCCAATATTGCCCAAAGTATAGACATTCGATTCGCCTGCACAGAAAGTAGATTGTGGAAGAGCAAAGTCAGTCAACGATTCATAACGGGGAGGGCACACAGAAATGAAACATGGATGGCCCAAAGGCTGCTTGGATTCTTTGTGCAGAGTGCGTGACGAGATTAATCAATTTCAACCCAACAAAAAAAAAGTGATACAAATGCATGGAGTGATACGAGTGAAATTAGGAGTCCTTCCTTGGACAATCCTTTACCATAACAACACAAAAAACAAACACGAAAACATGGAAATAAACAGTGTACAGAACGAAGCACACAGAACTTATACTCTCTTGAGTTCAACTTGTATCCAAATAGAAGTAAATATATATACAGATATATAATGTAATACCCATGTACCAACCCATACACAAGTTGTTCTTAAACTAAGGATATGGAAATTTGGACTTGTGTTTTTGTGGCTTACCAAATCTTCGTTTCTTTTTGGATTTTCTTAGGGTGTTCGTTAGATTGGGATCGGAATCTGTTACGGGGCGGGTAGTTTCGGGTACATTCGAGTTTCGTGGGTCGCGAGGGGGTTGGTGTTGGTAGAGTGGATGGAGGGAGGTTAATGTTTTTTGTCGCAAAAACAAGCAACAATTTTATGCAAATTCATTCAATTGGGTTGCGTAATAGTTGCACGATGCGGTTAAGTTGCGGTTAAGAGAGTGGGTAGGGGGAGGAGCCACATTAAGGGAGCGAAAAAGAGAGAGAGAGAGAGAGAAAGAGAGTTGAGATATTATTAGTGTGGAACTCAGAGGATGTTGGAGGAGTTGAAAGGTCATCAAACTGTTCTTTATCAGCTTTCTATGGATTAGTCGACTTTGCGATTGTCCACGCCCCACCGCCCCACCTACCGACTGTGGTATAGCGAACGAATGTCTCCTTGTTCTCGAGCATCGCATCCACGGCCAGCTTCTCGCAGTATTGCGCCGTTATGATGGCAATCGTCGGCTGCTTGTTGGACGCTATCGTTGGCATCTGCTTCACCACCTTGATCTCCTTGTCCTCGTGGTGGATGCGTGTGTAGGCATTGTACTCCATCGACTTGATCAGGCCACGCTCCTGCAGCGACTGTATGACCAGCAGCACATCCTGTTCGCTCCATCCGTAGTCCCTGCGTCAAGTCAAATTCAATTAAATATTGTATTAGTGGAAAATTGGTTTATGTCTCACTTGGCCAGATCCTCGGGCGAAACGGGATTGGGGTAGGCCTGCTCGATCAGCTCGAGCACCTTCTCCTGTGTCAGTGGCGGAGATTCAAACTGCGATTCCTCCAGCGAAACTGCCAAAGAGAGAGACAGAGAGAGGGAGAGTTGATCATCAGTACAGATCAGATTGGAGTCAGAGCTGGGAACGAGGAGCTTTAGCGCCTGGCTGCTGGGGTTATACGAGTATTTTCACATCCCTACAGGGCAGGAAATAATGTTTCCCCCTGGATGGACCATGAAATCTGTGCGATGCAACGATGTTAGCAGGTGGGCGCGTGGCTGGTTAGGCAGTGGATTAACTGGCTGGTTAACACAAGAAACGAGGACGGCACTGTAGGGGTGTTTCGGGTTTTTTTCGCTTTGTCGAGAGTCGATTAAAATGCTCAAGCAGCGTATTTTAATTACTGACTGCAGACAAATTGGTCTCTAAAGATGTCATTTAGGTGAGTACGAGGATGAGTGGGAGCAATGGACACTGATTCGTGTTGCAAAAGGCAATGACCTGCGGTGTCTGCAGTCGGAGTGTCACACATTGGCAAGCAGTTCAAAATAGGTACAGTTTTAGGGTCACCATGGTCGCTTGAGTCACACTCTCAGGAGTAACCGCTACAGTTGTGGAATGTTTGGTGGATACACTGCAGTTTGACAAGCACATATGCATGTTTGTGTATGCATGTAGTTTGAGGGTCATCGAAGTTTAGATAGCAGTTGCAGTTTACAGAAGCTTACTGGGGAAAGTAAATACAGTTTTAAGCTTTCGATGACTGAGATTGCTAACTACTGTTTTGGCAGCGCTGACAAGCAGTTTTCTCAAGTATTCACCTGCCCAGAGTTGAGTATGTTTTGTTCTAAGCTGCAAGCAGTTCCACTCCTACAGTTTAAGAACTGCTTGGATCTAGATAAGTTGAACAGTTGCCAAGCCACTGGTTTAAGCATTATTTATTATTATTTATGTTTGAGTTCGCTTTAACATTTGTTTTTTTAGTGCAAAAACATTACTTGATTTTGGATTGGATTTTCTTGTGGTTTTAGAGCGTGCATTTAGTACGAAAAAACGAACGAAACAAAACAAAACAAACAACGAAAGAACAAAGAGAGAGACAGAGAGGAGAGAGATGCGAGAGAGAAACGTAGTAGTAGTAGTAGTAGTAGACGGAGGGGTGGGGTGGTAAGCGGCAGATATACGGCACGGCACGGCACGGCAGACACCACGGTAAACGGGACGTGGATTAGGGGGGATTAGTTGCGGAAGGGGCTAGAAGTGGAGTTGGCAATCACTTCCGCCTGGCACTCAGCTGATCCGTGTACATGTCCAGCCAAATGGCCTTCATCAGATCGCCGCCATCACCTGTTTTCTTCTGCGCCAGCAGCGCCTCCTCGAACTTGCGATTGCAATCGCCGTAGCAATAGATGATGTAACCATCCCGAGCTGCCTCCCCACAAGTCAAATCAATCAAATCAAATCAAATCAAATCAGTTCAGAGATTAAGAGGAGAAGAGACTAGAAAAACAGAATTATTCTGCTCAGAGCAGAATTTACTTACGCGGACGTGAGGGCGGCGCCGATGTCTGCTCCAGAATCCGCAGCTCGATCTCGATCGACTGGATCTCCGAGTAGCCGTGCTGCATCAGCTTCATGATCTTCTTGATGAAGCCCACATAGTCTGCAAAGAGAGAGAGAGAGAGAGAGACCTTAAGCATAGGCACAAAGAAAACTTTAGAGTAATGTACCTCGGGGAAAGTCCTGCGGACTGACCAGCTCCTTGAAAAAGTCCTGGGCAATGTGCGCCTGCTTCTCGTCGTTGGTCAGCCAATCGCGAAACCAGAAACGCAACGTGCGCGACTCCTGCGAGTGCTTGCCCGTGTTGGCGCTCACCAGGAACACCCGAAACTCCAGGGATAAGGCAGCCGCCTTGCTGGCGCTCTTCTGGCCAGCCACCGTGTCCTTGTTTATGATGATGCCCGTGTGATCGCCACCGGCCACGTGCACCCGATCGTTGATCTCATCCACCAGCTTCCTCTCAATGAGGATCACCGTGCTGTTGGCTGTCTTGCCTCGGGGCGTCATCACGACCTGCTCTGTCCGCGGCGGTGTCTGGCTCCTACGAGAGACGCTCGTGTTCTGCAGCTCGTTCTGTTCGCCTCCAACAGCCAGCGGCGGGGCTGCGACACTTTTATTGCCGCGGATTTTGTTGTTACTGTTACTGCTGTTATAACTGTTGTTGCTGTTGCCATTCGGCAGGACCCCATTGGCATCCACGTTCACGTTCCCATTTCCATTTCCACTGCCCCCATTCGATGTCTGCGATTTGTTTGG